TCAGTAGATCTTGGGATAAAATACAGGAGCACATTTGAATTAACAACAAGGAAACCAGGAGCACAGACAACCAGCATGCTTGATTCTATTCAGAGATCCTCAGCAGTGACACCTTTAAGCCAGTCTTATAAGGAGCCAAAAGGTTTTCTCCATTTGAAGTAAAAGTATCTTGTGAGACTCCCAGTTCTTTTGTGACATGTGACATTATTAAAGAGAACATGTACTAAGAACTCCAGAAATACACCACAGGCACAGTTCAGATCTTGATTAAATAATCAGTCAATATCAACAGTGAGTGCAGACTCTAACAACATGTTTTCTTTGATGTCTGTGGCAAAGCATATGCTGTAATTAAGAAGTTTTGAGTCCATTGATTTGCTGATGCCTCTGCAACACCATTTGTGGGATTTTCAAAGAATGATAAAAGGTCTGATATTTTCCAGAGGACAGAGTTAAGGATGGTGGTTGAGTATCCTGATTTAAACTGCACATGTAGAGTATTAACAGAGTCTTAACACCATTAATTGTAGCTCTTGTAGAAGCTACTTTGCAAAGGAATAGAAGAGTATTTGATTTATTAAGTATTTTGTCTTCTTAAAAAATCAATGACATCTTTCACTGGGGTCATTTTCCTTGGCACACAGACTGACTATAGAACTTCCTGGGGCCAGTGCCAAGCAAAACTGTGAAGTGAAAAGGTGAAGCCAGTCTTTGGCTCCACCAACCTCTGTTCAGTGCTGTGTACCCACCACTTGCATCCCTTTCCTTAAGGCCAGGTGCTCTCTTGGCCTCTTCCCCCTTATCCCATCAACCTACTCTTAGGAATTGGTCTGTATTTTCTTCAAACTGAAGTATAAGTGATTGCTGGGAATTTAAGGATTATTCCACTGATGGATTCTTACATCTATTAGGGATCAGTCTTAAGCTAGAGGAATGAAACTCTGAGTGGATTTTTAGTGTAAGATATAAGTAGGAGCTGAAGCATTTCCCATATTACGTAAAGGATTATTATTATTTCCATGCAAAGGTACAACTATGAGCATATAAATGAAGATGATTTTTAAAGTTATTTCTTGTTGAAGGAGCTTCGTTGTTTCTATACAGCTTTCTTGTCCTACATCTACCCAATCCAGGCAACCTTGGCCCCACAAACTGGGACTCCTCTTTGACTTCATTGTATATATTTTTGGGGGTCTTTGGTTGCAAGTGACAAGAATTCCATTCAAACTACCTTAAGGAAAAAAAAGATTCATGTAACCGAACCACCAAATCTCAGGATTGGACTGACTTTATGGCTTAACCATTAACACTCTCTCATACACACACACGTCTGTCTTTTTTCTGTCTGATTGTATTGGCATCAGTCTCATTATCTTCCACTCTCCTGCATATTAAGGGATGGGATAGTCTTAAAGTTCTCAATTTGAGGGGGAAAGAGCATATGTCAGCTCTGCCTCAAGTCAAGTGAGAAAAGTCTGGGGGAAGATGCTGATTGGTCAGTTTAGGTCACATGCCCACTTCCTATTGTGATCGTTGTGTCTAGTCAGATGTGGTCTTGTGACTGTCATCTCTGTGACAGCCCCTTAAGAAACATATGAAGTAGAGGAATCATCTGGCCCTCTGAGCTTCTGTTTCTTCATCCATAAAATGAGGGAAATAGAGACATCTCTAAAACTCTCCCAGCTTTAACTTAGATTCTATTTAAAAATCTCTTCTTCATTTTTAGCATTCTAATCACTGTATCTTTGTCTCTCTTACATGTCCTACCTCCCACCAGAAGGTCAAATAACATTGGGAGGTGATAATTATCTCCTTGGCTCAACTCTGAGTTTCTCTAAATGGGGAACAAGGCAGCTCCTGTGGTGCCCCTCACATGAAACAGCAAAGCATTGTAATTCAGCCTTGACCAAATTTAACCACCATTGATACCACGTGATATAAGATGGTCACAATTTCAAAATTTGTCAAGCATCCCAAATTTAGCATTTTGCCTGAGTGAAAAAAGAAGCAGATCAAGTGGAAGGTCAACTGGAATTTTATTTTTTTATGCCGTTATACTGGGGACATGAAACGATGCTTATGTAACTGGTTCCAATTCAGATGCAGCCCAGATTCAAAGTGGCTAATGTGTGATAGTGTCCAGATTATTCATCTATTTCCACACCATTGAACACCTGTTCCTCTTGCAAAACCTATATGATGTCTTCTTCTCTGAAATGCCTCCCCACGTGCCAAAAAAGTCCATCAGTCCATCTTCTCTGTCACGTCTACACTTCTATTGTAATGATCTTTGCCCATGTCTAGCTCTCTTATTAAACCATTACTTCACAGAAGGCAGGGGCCATACTTTATTCATCTTTGAATTCCTAGTGCTTCACCCAGTATAGACATGTGGTAAATACTCAATAATGTTTGTTGTGTTTACTTTACAAATAATGATTCTCAAGCAAATTTTTCTTAATAATTTCTATCAATACAGTCTGATTTATGGTAAGCTAATAACCAGTTGTGCTGGACTGTAGGGATCAACCAGCCATGGCCCCAGAAACTTCCATGAGTCAGACTTCTGGAGGACAGTTGCCTTTGTGCCTTTATACGACTGCTGTCACCAGCAACCACTTCTTCACAGAGCAGGCATGGCACACATGTCCTCTGAAGACAGTGGTGCCTACTGGATAAAGCAGATCCATGCGTGAATGATGTAAATCTGTCATCCTCCAAGTTTTCTTCTATAGATTCCTGAGATACCTGCCATTAGATTCTTTGTCTGTGCTGAGATATTATCTCCCAGAAAGCCCCTACAAAAATGCAAATATGTTACCCAGTAGAAGATATTCTTACTCTGGACGTGGAGTCATAAAAGTCAGAAGAATAAAGGAAAAATGAGGGTTGATATCACTTAAAAATAGGTTTGTCTTTCTTCCAGCCACCTATGACTCATCTCACCTTCAGTTCAGCCACTTTCAGTTGGCTGAGAGAAAATATGGTTGACATGGGATCCCTCGGAGCATGGAGGCACAGAAAGCAGTGGGTCTGCAGATGACTAAAGAGTGAGGACACCTGGCATCCCTGAGTTAGGGGACTCATGGGACTGTGAGTTCCCTTTAGGCCTGATGGGCACCACTCTGGTCTTCCTGAGGCCAGTTTAATTTTGCTGCCAAGGAGGATTTGCTTTCTTGTTCTGCCTCCCAATGGCCTCTAGACCCCTACCGATCACTAGACAGGTCCTTATGTGGATAGGACAGCTCTAGGAGAGAGGTACACTTAGAGAAAGATGAGCAGATTGCTTAGCAACCTGCACCATCAGAGAGGGGCAGCAGCATTAAACAAAGCTCAGCAAGTGCAAGGAGCTATCAAGTGTTTGGAAGATAATTCAGCTGCCTAATATTTCCTGAGGCAGTGAGATTTTCCCATCACCTAGCAGTCAGGCAGATTTGGAAGTTCTGGTTTGCCACAGTTTTTTCCATAGTGTAAAATTGTTGCTTCTATTACAATAACATTTCATGAAAATGGAATTTTGTTGGGACTAGTCAGTGAGCAGTTACTTAGTACCTGCCATGTATGAATTATTGAACAAACAACTGATTAGAAGCCGTGAGGTGTACATTGGGATCATATTTATAGTGGTAAAGGGTAAGCAGTACCCCAGGGCTATTCAACATCTAGTGTATGCTGTCTCCACCATCCTGGGCTACTTGGTATCTTAGAATTTAGCTAGATATGTGTGACCTTAAATAAGTCCCCAGTCCTTCTCAGTCTCAATTTCCTTATCTTTAAAATAGTGGTAATAACACCTACTCTATTATATTGGAGGGAAGATTAAGTGGGGTGATGAACAGCCAAGTGCCTGGCACAGAATCTAGCATATAGTTGAGGTGCATTTGTGATTTTCTCTTATTTTTAAGTTACTAAGCAACACCAAGATGGTGGCCTGGATGGCGGTATAGTAGTGTGTGTACAATCCTAGGTTCAAAGCCCAGCTCAGCCACCTACCAAAGCCCAACCTCAGCTACCTACCAATGATTTTGAACTAGTCATTTAAGCTTTCAAAGCCTCAATTTCTTCGTATGTTAATGAAATAGCGATAATTTCTACCTCATAGATTAAGTGGGTTAAGAGAGAGAACATATATAAAATGCCTACCGTAGTATCTGGCACATGGTAGATACCTTATCAGTGGTAATAATTGTTGTTCTCATCTGTAGTGGAGGATGAAAAAAGAAGCCCCAAGATTACTGCAAGTCTCTTGGATGCCTCTGTGTTTTCTGATCTTTTCCTGCTTTATGTGTTCTGATGAAGATGAATCCACATTAATAAAGGCAATAGTTAATTGCCTCCTTGTGGGCTGGACCTGTCCTGAGGCAGCACATTACCATATTCTTTTTTCTTGAGGCTTCCAGTGGGATACGGCTGTTCTAATTTAATAGACCTCTTTTTTAGTGCCTGGCTCAAAGAGGCAATACCACATGGACATTTCCAAATGCATCATTTGTATGAACACTCAGGCCTTAACTACATGGGGAAACCATTCTGGAAGCGGTGGGTCTGGGTATCATTTCACATTTATTTGAACTGATTCCAACCAAACTTCCACAGTTAATTGTGTCTCAGCGATTTTCTCCTGGAAAAAATAATGATTATGCAGACTTCTAGCTGTTGCTTGGACTTCTTTTGTTCTCGAATTTGCATTGTTTACAGTGTTGTTTCAGCAGCAGTCGTATAATATATGGAGCAAATGGAGCACTCCTCCCACCCCAAGCCTCCCCGCCCCCCAATTCGAAGTTAGTCAATCCATCTCCCTCCTTGTGGTTCCAATGGTAGAAGAGAAAATGGAAGGTGTACGTAATGGGAGTTTACTCTTTGGAAAAGAACGCTCAAGATTTGGGCTGAGAGGGCAAGCAAAGGGAATCAGGGAGGTAGGGAGCCGTTAACTCTGAGAGACTTTTCAGGATGGGCAAAGTCAACCCCCAGGAAAATTATGGTCTTCCTTTAATCTACAGGTAATGCAGGTGGTGAAGGAGCAGGTTATGAGAGCTCTTACAACCAAGCCTAGCTCCCTGGACCAGTTCAAGAGCAAACTGCAGAACCTGAGCTACACTGAGATCCTGAAAATCCGCCAGTCTGAGAGGATGAACCAGGAAGATTTCCAGTCCCGCCCGATTTTGTAAGTTAGCCCTGACCTCCGTTTCCTCAAAGGCTCTGACCCACCATTTCTGGAGTGAAAGCCTGTCACACAGCTGGGCCGTGTTGTGAGCTCTTTACAGAAGGCCAACAAAAGACATTCACAAGATCTCAGTTCAGTTTTTGAAGTCTCAGCAGCTCCTTAAGGAAGGCTGAGCAGGGCTGGGCTGAGTGGGAAATGGGGACAGATGCTGGCAGAAGACTCTAAACCAGGGAGTGGCCCAGTTATTGATGAGTCCTCTAAAGATTTGTAACTAAAGAGTTTGGGACCTTTTCTAACACTTGTGACAAATTTTTTTTTGTCTTTGAAGCTATATCCTTTATAGATGCCTTTGAGTAGCAAGATGCTCTGACACAGCCACAGTGAGGTCCACCAATAATTTAAGGAACATGAACACTCAAGTAGTGTGAGTGGGAGGGAGGGAGAGCTTGTGAGGGAGAGAGAGCGCCACCTCCCCCCGCCCTTTGGCTCTGCTTCGCTTCAGAGTGTCTTGTACCACTCTTGTGACTATTGACATATAGGCCTAAAGTTGAAAGGCAGCAGGCCTCCATTTTTATAGGACTTTGCGTCAAATATCACATGCAACAGTGGTGTAATTTCGCGTATCTCCATTTTTAAGATGTTCTGAACCTTGAACACAAGGCCTGTTTTGTTTACTTCATCTTTTCTTAAAACTGGCCTATTAATTTCCCTTGCCCTTTTCTAAGAACAAGGTCAGTTTTGTTATTCTTATAATTTATAGAGAAGGAAATAGGGAAAAGGGTGGGGGTAAGTAAAGTGTTTGACATGTGTTCGCATTCTTCACGCAGAAGACTGGACACAGCTTCTTCTGAACTTTCATGTGAAGCCAACTTACAACCTAAGTGTCCTTACGAAGCCCATCTGAAACCTCTCTCTCTCCGTTTCTGATTTTTTTTATTTCTGCCCCTCTTTCCGTTCTTTGTTCTTATGTATTTGACGTTGTTAATGCTTGGCAATTTGCGAAGCACCCCCTCCTGCTATTTCATTTCCTCACATCCATGTGAGATAGGCGGGTCTTATTCCCATTCAAGGACCAGGGTATAGTCTAGAGAGGTGAGGACCTCCTTAGCAAGCGGAGGAGCCAGGACTTCAACTCTAGCCCTCTGATCCCTCAGCTAATGCTTCGTCCACCCTGCCAGAGCTCCTCTGCCAGATGCAAGACTAAGATGAAGTTAAAAACAGTGCACAGGTCTGAATAGACAGTAGCCAAACTATAACATCTACTTTGTGTTCATTTTCAACGTTAAGAAGCACCTTTAGAGGAACCACTTGAGTTAAGGCCAAGTGATTCTAAATTAATGTTTGACCATGACTTTGTTCCAAGTAAGAATGTTAACTGCATGTCAAGTGTGAACACTTTGCTCTTGCTTTGGCTTCATATCTTTACTTCCCAAGCCTCTGCCTGTGACATTCTGAAGTTTCTTTTCCCTTTAGTACAAGAAGTTCCTATCTTTACATTTATTATGTAAGGAGAAGCAGTGCAAATATGAAGGAAATCTCCTGTGTGTATGTAATCTGCCATCGTCACTCAGCCACGGGATTGAAAAGCACGGTGGCCCCCTAGAGTTCTTGGAATACTTGCAGTAAAGTCATAAAGACATGTCAGAAGCTATAGCATTTAAGTGGGAAGGCCATGAACCAGCCTGATCATTATCCCAGCCCCTGAAACAGACAGACAGGAACCAGCTTCCAGCGTCTTCTCCAGTCATTTTTTTGTCTGTTAGAATGATCTACTAGACAGGAACTCATTGTGAGGTTGGATGAAGTCTAAATGCTGCCAAAATGTCTCACAGTTTGAACCCAAGTCAACAGAAGAAAGGGACAGACCATTTTTGATTATTTTCATTTATTTAACAAGTATGTGTTGAGTGACTCCTACCTGTGAAGGCTTGCCCAAGGTGCTGAGGACAGACAGAGAACCAGAGACAGTTGCCTTTACTGTCCCAGGCTTTAAAGCTGGCATTCGAGGGATTACCAGGGACTGTGCTCAGTGCTTGGTTTGGAGGAAGCACAGGTAGGTGGGTTGTCATGAGAGCACAAAGAACACACATCTAACCCAAGCTGGGGAGTTAGGATATTAGAACTTTAGAGCTGCAAAGCACCCTTAAGGTCATTCAGTTCAAGGCTGTCATTTTGCAGACTGGGACAACAGCTTGGCTGGGGCCTGAGCATTAGTGCAGAACCCCGCTGGCCATGGTCCCCTGCCTCTCAACCTGAGCCCCGTAGTGCTCTTCCCTCGCCTGCCTGGCTGCCTCTGCACATGCTGCACCCAGCACAGTGGCAAACCTCAGGGACACGAAGACCCCTTGAGGCATGTGTCCCATTTTTTGTAAAATGTTTATATTTCCTGAGAAGAAAAATGCAAACTCCATGTGAGCCAATGTTTTGAGGGAATATATATTCATCAGTTGAAGAAGCTCTGTTTTCTTAGGTCTTGACTAATTATTTCAGAGAGGAGGTATTTGTTATTTTCTACTTAGCATGCCTTAACAGGGAAGATAAGTCCATCCACACAATTAATCCAACTTAATGGATATAAAAAGCTTGAATAGTCCAAAAATGGGTCATTTAACACCATACTTGGGGGAAGGGGAGATGCAAGGACAAAGACCAGTGAAGCAGACTAATAAAACCCCAGACCTGGGGAGCTAACAGATGCAGGATCAGATTCCAAGGCCATCACTTACAAATGTGGCTCTTTAGGCAAGTTTTATAGCCCATTCTAAGCCTGTTTTTCTCAAGTCTAAAAATGAAGATGATGAAAGTGTCGGCATCGTTGGGTGGTTGTGAGGATTCAACAAAGTAGGGCATGAAAAGTCCTTAAGCATATGCCTGGCCCATAATATCCACTCAGAGAGATGGTTGCTCATTATTAGCCAATAACCAGAATTTAACAAGTTGTCAGACTGTTAATATGTAAATGGTAAAACTGACACTATGAATGTATTTATATATGCCTTGCCTTATCTCAGAAAGTACTGTAACAGTAAGTGAGAAAGAAAAAGTAAAAACAAAGAGAGCCAGAAATAAGGCTAATGCCCATCCTGCAAATCTGCATCTTTACTAGAGATTGGCCACAAGCTCTGCTCGAGGCTCTCGTAGCCAGTGCTGGTAGGACAGTCTGCTGGTTACACAATTATCAGTGTTCAACGCCCTTGACAAATACTTATCAAGTGCCTGCCACATGCCAGGTGCTGGTCTATGTGTTGGTGACTTAGCAGTGAAGAGAACAGACACAGTTCTCGCCCCATAGTGATTATATTTTAGTGGGGAGAAACAGACAGTAAACATGGTAAATAAGACTGTAGCATCTTAAAAGAGGATACAGGCAATGGAAAGATAAAGAGGATAGGGGAAATGGAGAGTTTGCAGCTTTAAATAAAGTGGTCAGAGTAAATCCCTCTAGATGGGAAAGTGACATTTGAGTAAAGATGTATAAGGGACTAAGAGAGCAGGTTATGTGTATATTTTGATGAAGGGTATTCCAGCAGAGAAAATGACCAGTGCAAAGGCCCTGAGGTAGGTGCAGGTCTGAGTGCTCAATGAATAACAAGGAGGCCAGTGTGGCTGGAGCAGAATAAGCAACAGAGAGAACAATAGGAGATGAGGCCAGAAAGGTGGCCAGGAGCCTGATTATGTAAGGCCTTGTTAGGAGGTCATTGGAGAGTTTTGAGCAAAAGACTGATGTGCTCTTACTTGGGTTTTTAAATGATCCCTATTGCTGCCCTGCTGGGAATAGACTCCAAGGAGGCAAGTTTGGAAGGAGGGAGATCAGTGAGGAATTTATTTCAGTAAACCAAGCAAGAGGTGATGAGAAGTGATTATTCTCTACAATAGATTGGATAGATTTTGAAGATAAGAAACAACGGTATTGCCTGATTGATTAGATGTGGAGTGTAAGAGGAAGAGAGGAGTCAAGGATGAGCTTAAGGTTTGGAGCCTGAACAACTAAAGGACAGAGTGAGTGGAGCAGGCACGGACAAGGGGGTCAGGAGTTAAGTTTTAGCCATGTCAAGTTTGAGGTGTCTGTGAGACATCCAAGTTGGCAGTTGGATTGATGAGTTCAGAGTTTGGCGAAGATGACTAGGTTGGAAATATGAAGTTGGGAGTTGTCAGCATAAATTTAGTATTTACAGCCGTAAGTCTAGGATAAAGAACAGAAGAGGTGCAAGACTGAGCTTGGAGTCCCCTCAGTGTTGAGACAGAAACAGATCAATTTCTATGTAACTGAGACTCAGCCCAAACTCTCCACAGGGCCCTTTTAGATCAAGGGTGGGCAAACTGTAGCTCCTGAGCCAAATCTGACCCACTATCTGTTATTATAAATAGAGTTTTATTGGAACACAGCCAAGCTCATTTGTTGACAGACTGTCAACTGCTTTTGCTCTGCCATGGCAGAGTCGAGTGGTTGTAACAGACAGCATATGGCCCACAAAGCCTGAAATATTTACTATCTGGCCTTTTACAGAAAAAGTTTGCCAACCTCTGTTCTAGATGAACATGGGGTAACAGTTCAGTAGGGCAGACCCTAGATCCAGAAAGGGATCTCACCAGTCTAATGGTGCTGTCTGTCTTCTGTGTATGGCACTGGCCTCATGGGGCCCAGACTTGGAATTGTCTTCTGGAAATGGTGCTAGACTTTAAATTGCTCTTCACATACTCATTTGCCTTACCTCCTTTTAACCTTCCTCCTTTTAGTTATTTACAAGGCCTTTAGACAGAATTAGAGGAGTATTTATCAAAATAAAACCAGCGAGAGCTGCCCTGATGGCCTAGCAGTTAAAGTTTGGCACACTCTACTTTGGTGGCCCGGGTTCAGTTGCCAGGTGTGCAACCACACCACTCGTCTGTCAGTAGCCGTGCTGTGGTGGCAGCTCACACAGAAGAACCAGAAGAACTTACAACTATACACAACTATGTACTGGGGCTTTGTGGGGGTTGGGGGAAGGAAGAAAAAAGAAGGAAGACTGGCAACAGATGTTAGCTTAGGGCGAATCTTCCCCTGAAAAAAAAGAAAGCCAGTGAACCTGTGACCTTGGCCTCATTGACCCCAAGCTGAGAATTTCAAAACCCAATTCCAGCCCATGGTGTTTTTACCCAGATTAACCTGAAGTTAACCTGAAGATTTCATCTGCAGAAACACCATGTAGGGATTACATGTACTTTCCTAATATGAGTAAATTTTATAGCTACTGAGTCCATTTGCAGGGAAAGAAGAGGAAATCGCATAGATGAAAGCAAAGCTGTCCTATTTCCCTCAGTGCTCAGTCATATTTTGGAATCCTTTGGGGTTCATAACAAGAAAAGGGTAATACTTGCAGGAGCATATTCTCTTATTCTGGTAGTCTGTCCCCGGAAGTTGGTTCCATAATGGAATGAGTCATGTAGAGCACATTTGGGTCTTACACTGAAAAGTCATAAATCATCAATTAAAATTACTCGGAAGTACTTTCAGTTATTTCCTCCTTTTCATCCTCATCTCTGCATCTTCATCTCCATTTTAGTAACTCATCTCTAGCCTAGTAACTATTATTTAAAGATATATCTAAAACCTAAGAATTGATGAAATGCTCAAACTCTTTCTCCCATGATTTCTCCATCCTTCAGTGTCATCTTCCTCTCTTCCCTGTTGCCCTGACTTGGAAGTCAGGAGCAGTGATTTATTGTGGTGTTCGACTGCCCTGGCAATTTCCTACCTTCTTCTCCATTCAGAGCAGAGTTCATCAAAGCTGCAATTTACTGAGTCCATTTACAAAAGCTGAACGCTGATAATAAATAGTTTTAGTGATCTGAAAGCCTGAGATGGGGCCCTGTGAGACCTGCAGAGGAAAACCTTTACAAATGTACCAAGCTGTCTTATTAGAGCTGACTCTCCATATTATGCTTTATAAATGTTCAGTTGAAACAGTATCAAATGACAGGAGATTTGAGGCCATTTAAGTCTAAAATATGTATTAATGAAGTACTAGAATACCCTGTTAGATGGCCAGACCCTTTTATGTAACTTTTTTACTTTCCTCATGCATAAATAGAAGCAGTTTGCACGAGGAAGACTTGAGTTTGTATCCCTATTCTACACTTAATCTTTGTGTGCTGTTTCCCCACCTGTAAGATGGAATGATGATGTTCTCAAAAGTTGGGGGTTTTGTGGGGTAGACGGGGAGGGGATGTTAACTGAGCTAAAATTGCATAATACGCTACCCAGCAGATACTTACCAAGCATTAGTGCTTTCCCCACCTGAGAACAGGGCACCATGTGAAGACAGGCTGCTTGCAGTCTGGAGCAAGTCCAGAGTCAAGGTTGAAGCCGATAATGTGTGAGCTTTGACTACAGTGGAACATGGGCATATGTAGTGTTTAGCCTAAGGAAAGGAGAGAATATTATCAAAGCAAATTCAGTAATAACTTGCATTCCAGTCCAATGCTTAGAGAGCACTTGCACTCACACTGTCTCCTGTGGGAGTCACAGCAGTTACCCAGGAAAGATTCTTATTCCATTCTACAGATGAGGAAACTGAGATTAGATGAGCTACAGGAAGTGCCAGTCATGGGCAGCGCCTACACTGAACCCCTGGTCTTCGGAGTTCGAGATCTATGTTATAATCAATATTTTCAACACTGCTTGGAGGGCTGGGCTCTGGATCTCCCTGTCCAGCTTCAACTAGAACAACTTTTACTTTACTAAACTCAAATGCTAGGGGGCTACATAAAATTTCACATGAGAAAAAATCTCTGCTCTTAAAAAAAAAAGATTTAAAAACCATTGCACTCTGTCGTAATATCTTTACAGCACAGTGCATCTAAAACTAAATTACACTATATTAGCCTGAGACAAGATGCAAATAATCCTTAATTTATCCCATCATTATCCCAGTCTCTGTGGGCTAGCATCTGGGATGATGCGTTGTTCCCATTTGTAAGTGATAGATTCAAAAGCAGAATGTGGTCCTGTGGTTTGCCCAGAGTACAGTGTTTGCTGTGGAATAGTAATTGTGTGGTTGGCCAGTATTCCTCTTTGGTCAGATCACAAATGCAATCTAGGAGTTTACCTGCTATAGAGAGGAAAATGTGACCAAAGACTTGCTGCCTCTGCAAAGCTGAGTGAATTTTGCATAAATTTATATCTGTGGCTTTGTAAAACAAGAGAAGAAATTTCTCAAGACACTTTGGTCTAGAAAAACATCACTGAAGGGGCTGGTGCTTTTGTGGGTATTCTGTAAATGTGAGAGAATCTATACCGTTATTATAACAGATAACCTTGTCCACTGATGCTTAGTAAATGGTTCTCTAAAGCACAACCTTGGGAGATATTGGGATGTTCATGAGAAGATGCAGCTTGCACTCTCCTGCCCCATCTACCCATAATGCCCTTTCAACTAGCACTGTTCTCAAGGCATGCTGTGGAATACGTGTTTACGCTTTCACAGGGAACTCAAGGAGAAGATTCAGCCAGAAATCTTGGAGCTGATCAAACAGCAGCGTCTGAACCGCCTCGTGGAAGGGACCTGCTTTAGGAAACTCAACTGCCGGAGGAGGCAAGGTATGGTGTCTGGGACGACTCCACACTTGACTAGGGTGAACAGTGGTTGGCTGCATGGGAAATCACAAGGGCAAGGGTGTTGGTTTAAGGGTAGGCCACACAGCGTTGTACGCAGGACAGGAATAGTAGTACTGGTAAGTTCTGATTCCCCAGCATACCTGGGGAGAATCAAAGTCCAGAATTACCAGAAGACCCTTCGGACTGAAGAGTCATTCTGAGCCAGTTAGTGCCACAGGTCTGCTAGTAGTGGTTCAACAACAGCTAACGTGTATTGAGAGTTTACCATGTGTCAGGCTCTCACTTTTCTTATGTTAACGCATTTCATCCTCACGGTAACCCTGTGAAGTAGCTACTGTGATTACACCTACTTTACAGATAAGGAAACTAAGGCACTGAGGCATTGAGCAACTTGCCCAAAGTCACAGAAGAGCAATGATTCATACTCCAGCAGCGCTATGGCCCTTACTTTTAATGACTCACTATACTGTCAGGTGAGCGGGCACCCACTGTTGGATTTGATCTTGGAGCATTCAGCATGGATGGCCCTTTTTCTCAAATCTCTGTACTGATCGTCTTCCAGGTCAGAATTATTTTATTTGGAGATAGAAGTAACAGTGAACCAAGTGAGATAGAATTAGTTTTCAAACTCTTGTTAGACCGATTTCTGAATTGTCTCTATAAATTTTAATCCCAAAATATCAAGCCAAGATGGATACTGTTAGACTAGTTCCGATAGGTGGAAAGCTTTTGCAGCTGTTTCTTAGTCGGGGAGGTAAAGCCTCTTGATTGCTTTCTTGCTCTCTTGAAATGCTGCTGATTGCAAAGTCAAAGTACTCATGTAATACTGTCCTAGAAACAATCAGAAAATAAAACTGAAATATAAGGTTTGGAGATAGGTGAAGAGATTGAGAACAGCCAGGAACAAGCGTAAGCATTAGTAACTTCACCGAGAACATCAGTTATGGCCCAGGAGAAAGTCTGGCAGATATTTTTGAAACCTGATGGTTGCCCTGCTCAGACACAGAGTCTACTCGCTAATGACAAACAACGTTTCATGTGTGTGCTGAGCCCATCACACTAGCCGTTTACCTTAACAGCTTTGTGCTGAATATTGAGTAAATTCAAAGTACTTCAAATGTTGCCGTTAAAAATCCTATTAAGGAATTTCCAAAGGCAGAGCTCCCTTGAGGAATGAAAATGCAGGTAGTTCCCAGAGGAGGTGAAGCCATGGCAGTGAGCTTCAAGCTGGGCCTCAGGAGAGGAGGATGGGCAGAATAATAAAGGACTGAGTTACAGCTGGGGCGGAGAAAGGCTCACATTAGGACGAGCAGAGGAAGAGAACTCATCTCTCCCATTCAGCCGTTGAAGGACAAGTTCATTCTCTCCTTCCTCTTGCACTCCTTCCCTTGGACATCATCAGAGCAAATGCTGTTCCAAGAAGACAGTGCATCACAGTGGTGAGGACAAGAGTCCTGGAGGCAGATGAAGTAGGGCAATCCTGCCTCTCCGTCCAGCTGTGCGACCTTGGGTAGTTCCCCATCCGAAATGAGGAGGACAATGCCTGTCTCCTCAAGTCATCATGAGGAAGAAAGGCGATCATGAATGTAGCTGTTAGAAAGCAACAACCAAGGGTAGCCACTATTATTCTGGAAGATCGTGCAGGAAAAGAACAATGAACTGGGCATAAGTAGGTGTGGTTCTGGGCTTCTCAACTCTTTAAGTAACCACCTGGGTGTCTTTAGGCAGGACATGTGATCTCTCAGGGTCACAGTTTCCCATCTATGAAGTAGGAGAACAGGACTAGATGATTCATTAACTCATTTAGCCAGATAGTCCATTGTATGCTCTGAGCTCAGGATATATTGCCCCCATAAGGTGATTTATAACGTTTTTATTTACTGGACATTGGGCAAATGGCACAGAAGAGGGGGAGGGAGGGGGTAGCAAATAGACATATTCCAGCAAATGCCTCTGCTGATGCCCAGCTAGAACCCTTCTCAACCTAATCCAAAGAACTTGATTTAACCTTCCAGCCTACTTCACCATGAGACTTCCCTTTCTAGGCTGAAATGGGTAGATTCTGCTAGAATAATCCTGTTTTTAGATGTAAAAATTACAGTTTTTTTGGCTAAGGAAGCATTAGTCCCTTATTGGCAAATTTTTCCAGTTTTCTAAAGATGAATTACTTAGTGATCAAAAAATTACATCTAGATTATAAATTTATTATTTATATCCCTAGGGATCATGACCATCTGTGTTTAATATAAAATCATCCGAGTGCAGAAAGGAAGGCTTTTTGGTGTTTGGTAAATGGATTTAAAATCTGGTGTGCTTAAAAATAGGGATTCAAAGCAGTTGTTGCTAATGCCATGGAGTCGATTTCGACTCCTAGTGACCCTCTGTACAGCATAATGGAGCCCTGCCCAGTCTTTTGTGCACCATCCTCTCATCTTCCAGTGATATATCAGACAATACTCTGCTACTATTCATGGCTTTTCATGGCCGATTTTTTTGGAAGTGAGTGGCCAATTTTTTTAGAACTCGGTGGCCAGGTCCTTCATCCTAGTCTTTCTTAGTCTGGAAGCTCTGCTGAAACCTGTCCACCATGGGTGACCCTGCTGGTATTTGAAATACCAGTGGCATAGCTTTCAGCAACACACGTCCGCCACAGTATGACAACCTACAGACGGGTGGTATGGTTCCCTGACTGGGAAACAAACCTGGGCCTTGGTGGTGAGAGCACTGAATCTTAACCATCAGACCACCAGGACTGGCTGTTCAAAGCAGACTGTGCTGAAATTGGTTTGCTATCATCCCATCAAAACATTCCGTTTAGATTTACATAGGTTAATGAAGACATGACATAAAATCACTTTAATCCCTTCGAGAAAGGTGCACTTCCACATGAGATCTCAAACAGGAACAGCCATGTGCCATCACAGGTTAAAGAGCAAGCACACCCACAAAAGAGCCTTGGCCACACTCCGTTTAAGCTTGTCCAACAGCGAGTTGGACACAGATGAGTGGATTTAAGTATGAACTTTATAGGGGAAACTACGAAAAGGCTTCCCATCCTACAGAACTGGAAATTGGAGGAGCAGACATGAGTCCTTTACCACGCCACATTGGGCCAGAGCATGCCACGTTGGGCCGCATGGCCCCTGAGTTGATACGTGCCTATCATTTACCGGCTTCATTTGCAACGCTGCTACTTGGTTAGTCTGATGTAGATGTTTACAAGTCTGCATTTCCGGCAATTCTGACCACAGTAGAAATGGGAGGCAGTAAATCATGCAAGACATATCAAGCTGCGTTCAAGTCCCTACCTCCCTACCTGCTAGCTGGGTAGCCTTGGGAAACCTACTAGATCTCTCTGTGCTTCTGTTTCCTCATCTGTCAAATGGGGTTGATGTCAATTCCTACATCAAATAGTTGTAAGGGTCAAATAAAATCATGCATCTGTAGCGCTTAGTAGAATGCTTGGTACATTGTCAACATTCATTAATGATACTTAGTATTAATTTTAGCTTGTAGTTCCTCAGAATGTAGGTTTTTAAACACAGCCGGTAAAGTGGCAGTGGATGTCACATACCTGCTTCACTCTGTTCCACACCCACCACAGAAAATGTAAGCTCTTGTTCACAATCCTTCACAATGGGATTGCCTTGCTTCTGTGTTCCTTGGGATTCTGCAGAAGAAAGTTAAGATGAAATCCCAGACGTTGTCTATGTTAGGGCCATTATTTGCTTTATAAGAGTCTGCAGGCTCAGGAACTACCCCCTATTTTCCATATATTTCAGAGATTAGGGTCTTTCAGAATCTTGCATTGAATAGTCTTAATAAGAGCCTGGGGCTACACATTGGGGTGTCATTTCAAGAAATGATAGTGTGAAACTTTTACTTGCGTTGAAGACATTGTCCATTTTGTTCACTAGCATCCCTTCTCTAAGCACCAACATGACAAACTTAATTTGGAACTTGATAGTGGGCAAAATGTGTTTCCCCAAGGAATTGGCATGCTTCCCGCTGCTGCCAAGGGCGATGTACCTCACGTCGCTCTTGTAGCTCACTCAGAAGACCTAGAGCCAAATGGTATGTTCAAGCACAATAACCAGATGAACACTTTAGGGAGCAGGTTGTTTCTTCCTCTATCCTTGATAGAAATTCTCTTTTAATATTTCATTAAACCTTATCATAACTCAGTTTTACAAGACAGGAGGTATAAATAAATTCATATTTTCAAAGGAAGAAAAGCCAATTCATTTTCAGGAAAAAAGCACTTTCCGATAGATCAAAATAATAATAGTAACCATTGTTCTCAAAGGGTGGAGGGACCAGTAGTGTGGACAAGAGGGTTTACCATTGACTGGAAGAACAGGAAGATGCTAATATTTATTGAGAACCGCCTCTGTGAAAGGTGCATAATGGACGTTTTGTATGTGTTTTACTCATATCATTATTAGCATTACTTAACAAATGACAAACAGGGATCCCTAAGGTTTTTATAATTTGGCCAAGACTCCATTGCTGAAGTTCAGGGCCAGGTATGTATGTAACTCAAGTCTGTGTGATTCCAAAGCATCAGTTTGGCCAATCCCTGGGGCTAAAAAGGAGGCTCTGGTGTCATCTTCTGCTGTAAAAGGAGACAGCAGTCTCCAGGGAGGCAGAATTCTGAATCAAAACATGTCTCTTATTCTGAAGAAAGTCCAGTGAAGTGAGGAGGATTTGAAAGGCAGAATGACCTTCGTCTGTGTCTATAGTTGCTGTTGTCCTTTACTGAATCATCAGAGAAATCTTGTGTCTCATCACCCGGAAGATGACATTTCCCTTTAAAAACATCGCTGGGGTTCCTCATGTTTCTGACTTGGAAAGGTTTGACCCTTGGCAGGAAGTGGACCTTCTCCTGAACACACTGAAGATTTTGCACATTTTAACTTAACCTAGGAAAGATGTGAAATTCTAAGGGAAGTGCCCTAAGAATTTACTTTAGTAAAGGCCACCTGCCTCCCAAACAAAGAACTCTCAGGGTCCCCTGGGCCAGCAGCCAGCTGCCAACTGTGGGCTTTGCACCAAAGACAACGATGTCTCCCTGAGTCCATGGCAGAGTCTATCAGGACTCGGGTCGTGCTGTGCCCTGTACCTTACTGAACCGACCAGCATTTCACACTCCGCAATGGTAACTATTATTCAGCTTGCTCGTCTTCCCTGAAGACCTGCTGGCCAGCCCCAAACTTGTCTCAAGCCTGGATGATAAAGACAGACAATGAGCTGCACTGTTTGATATAGCTACCTATGGCTATTTAAGTTAATTAAAATTAAATAAAAATTAAAATTTCTTGCCTTACTGTTGGATAAAGCAGATACAGGGTATTTCCATCATTGCAGAAAGTTCTATCGAACATTACTGCAAGAATTACAGTTGCCAGTAGTTATTAGCTCCATAATGATCTGTGTGACATTGGGAATAGCTTTAATCAACACTGGAGACCTTCTTACTGGGCTTGTGAGTTTTGAAATCAACTTTCCCTCTGATTCTTCACATACACACACACACACGGACGAGAAAGAGTCAAGTGCAAAACTGTCTCCATATTTTCAATTTTTTAGTTTGGGGAATGAAGAGATGGCTATTTATGTACTAACATTTGTGTTTGACTGGAAGACCTTTATATTCACTCCTGTTTTCTCTTTAAATGCTAGTAAACAATCTTTGATAATGTTCTCACTATTTCCTGCTAATTGCTTTTAGTGACACAATCCACTCATTCATTGCCCAGAGGGACGGAGGAACTAGCAACATCATGCTGGGTTTTGAAAAGAAAATACACATTTTTCTTACCATAAAAGAAACTGCTCATCAAGCTGCTTCTGGTGGCTGACACTGAAACTGTCTCACCCAACAAGTCGGTGTGCTGTGCTGCTCAGGACTGCTGGCTCTGCTCTCCTTTATAGCAGCTCTGCCTTCAAGACAGACATACACAGCTAAGATGCCTGTAAACCTTCCCAGAGCTGACGACTCCAGCCTTTATCCTGAGGAAGATACTGACTGAGTATCCACCCATTTGCTTATGAGTCAAAACAAACTTCCCAAGCCTTTTCCAATATTTTGTCATCCATCCAAGACTTCTTATTTGATAGGGAGAAAAGGAACAAATCATTTACATCAATGATGCGCAGATCTTTTTGCTCGCTACCATTTTAGCGGTAGACAGAGAAAGAGGAACTTACATAGGATAGCCAGAAGTAGGAGGAAAACCAGAGATGGGTGGTTTCATCAAAGTCAAAAGAATTTAAGCCTCTGGAAGGAGGAAATTCTGTCAGCTATACACCAGATATTGTTATGGCAGGGGTCCAGTAGCCTTTTGAGTTTCTTTTAAGCAAACATCGACTGCAACTTTGCAGGAAAGATGGTTGCTTTGCTTCCTGGACTCCTGATAAATAGCCACAGTTCTCTAAAGGTTTCTGAATGTAAGAATATATTACACAAAAGACATCCCCTATTCCTATTTTTACCCATTGTGCAGGCAGAGTTGCTGAGTCCCTGTTCGTACTGCCCAGACCTGGGAAACGAGTGTTTCCACCATCTTTCTTTTAGCTGCCCTCGAGAACTGAGGGGCTACTTCTCCTTGAGCTTCTTGGCTTTGTCTCTCGTGTCTGCCTTTCCTCCTAGTGCTTTTTTGCTACACCAGTAGAGCGCTGTGTGCACTGTAGGCACTCTGCAAATACCCAGCGGATAAATAAACTTACCCTGAAAGTATATGCAGCAAAGTTTTTTGGAAGTCTTACAAATAAATATAAGTTGTACATTTTACTCCACAATATATGTTTGTACCACTTGAGTTTCCTAATGCTCCCCCAGGTATATTGATGATGATTGATCTTCTCTGATTGCACCATATTGACCTTTTGGCTTCAGATTACCACCGCTAACCCCTAGAGCTTACCCCGACTTGAGAAGTAAGGAATTCCTAGAAAGGACAGGCTAAGACCTTTCTGAAAATAAGACCAGCGTGTCCAAGTGGCACAGCTGACTGACTTCCTTTCTGGCTTTCTGTCACCCTTCAGTTGCTCACTTAGCCAAAAATCCCAACTCAGAGGTAGCAGGGAAGGAAGGCTTTTCAGCAAATTTCTCTAGCTGGCTTTGTGGTCATCACAGGCCGTTTAGACGAGGTGAAATGTCCTTTTGGGGAGAAGAAGCCTCTGCAGGCTGTCGTGCCGGGCCCCCAAGACCACTGGTGATGTTCATGGCCAGAGCATGGCCTGTGCCTTTGGAATTCACAATTTCTATTGTGGATTACAAGTCAAATTCCCAAATGTGTTCTCCTCATGGAAAACTGATACTTACTCATTTGCCTAATTGAAATGGCTGCGAATTATTCAGGGGCTAACTTTATTTTCTCCCTTTGAAATGCTCTCCTAGAAAAATGACCTGTGTTGGGTGTATATATAGAACATAATTTTGAAAATCTAGCAATTCCACATTTTCCTAGCCATCAAATAATTTTTCTTTCCTCTTAAATTTTTCTACCAGAGTTCAATTCTTTCAAATATATGGATGGCCATATTCTGACTACATTCAGGAATTCTCAATCCCTACTTACAGAGAAGGAAGATAGGAATCATAGAGGCATTTTGCTTCTGTGAATCAAGTTTGAGCATTTTCTTTGTTCATTTCTAGACTTTCTTTTAAAAGAATTGCAGTTAAAACATAGTTTTGCAGTGAAAGCAATTTTAGATGGAAAAATACTTTTCTTAAAATATTATGGAGAGCTTTTTTGTCAGAGTGGTTTCAAAACAATTTGCATTTGTAGACGATGGCTACCATCAGAGAGCCCTGGCTTCTCCACCCTGCCAGGGCTGATGAGTATCCTGGATCCCTCTTCTTCCATCAGTAATTGTTCACAATACACCCAGCAGGGCAAGTTGCTAACCTAGGGTCTGTGGCAGATAACGGGGAATACTAAGGTGCTTAACGTGGGTGCCATCAGTAATCAAAGATGATGCTGGGGCAGCTAAAATGATGGGGAGATTCCTGTTAGCTGCAGTAATCAAAGAGGGCTTCCTGGAGGAGGCAGCATCTAAGCACAGCCTTGAGAGCTACCCAAAGATTGTTGTCACAATTTCCTTATCTATAAAAAGTGCTCTTTGCCTCCTTCTCCCTACCTCACAGACTTATTCATAAATTTTTATTACATTTGGAGGACAGAGGAGGTCAAGTTGAGGGAATTATTTATAAGAAGGATCCTAATGCACTGATCATGTCTATTTAGACAGCTGAACTCTAGGAATTAGAGAGGAGATGATTGTGAATATCCTCATTCTTTGGATAAATCCCTGAATTATTTAGATTCTTTCCCCATGAATTCCACCTCTTGTGTATATCACTAATGTCCTAACAATTCATTCATTGATTAGTTTGTGTGTATTAGCCTCAGGAGTGGCACACAAGATATAGCACACAACTGTCTCAACAGTCTTAAAAGCTCAGAGAGGAAAGTAGAAGCAGAAAAGTTCCAAGAAAGCTAATTTTTCTGCCTCCCTCACTGCTTTTGTCAAGCCTAAGTGGATAAGGAATAATTCCCATAGTTCTTATAGATACAGATAAAATAACCCTCTGGAAACCACCACCTCAGACAACCTGTTGCCATTTTAAATGAAGGGAGAGCCCAATGGTTACCAAATGTATACCAAACAAGACAGGCACTAACTAAATATCAAAGTCCCAAGGGGACTTACTGCCGGGGCTCTGGAAATCATTCCTTCCTGGACACTTAAAATCAAATGAATTGCTTATTCCTCCAGGTAAGACTATTAGGAAATAAGGATGTTGATATTTTTGGAAACCAGAATCACTTACCTTGTAAATTTGTGTTTTTTTCCTCAGACAAGTTTTGGTATTGTCGGCTTTCACCAAACCACAAGGTCCTGCACTATGGAGACTTGGAAGAAAGTCCTCAGGGAGAAGTGCCCCATGATTCCTTGCAGGACAAACGTAAGTGGCTCTCCTGTGTAGGAACCCTGAATTTGGGTTGTTTGTTTAGTTTCCTGGTCACAAAATAGGGTGCAGAAAAACTATCAACCTAAATAAACCCATTGGACATGTGTCATCTTATTGTAAGTGCTGGCCTGAGCATTCTCCTCAACCATAAGACCTTGACAGATTTGGGGTCTGGGACTGACGGGGGAGGGAGTAAAAGGAATGCTCACGTCTCTTTCCTGAAAGCTGTAAACTGGGGTTCAGACATGCGTATTTGCATTACTCATCCAGGTGCTATTTCAAGGAGAAAGAGACAATTTAAACCCGATTCTGTCAATTGTCTTTTGCTGATGACCCAAAATAATTCCACATGAATTGTGTGCTTTTGATCTCTACCACATTTATTCATTATAGTTTAGCATGCCCCGTAATGATAATGCAGAGTTAATGGCAGATCCAAGCATGGCGAACTTACTCCAGAGAAGTAACTCAGACACTGAGAAAATTTATGATCAATTACATTCTGTGGTTGCTAAGTATTCCCTGAAATAAATACTATTTATATTTATTTGCTATTTCTGTACAATGTCTGTTTTAATGTGTATATTTTGAAGAGTCAGTAATAGCCTAGATTGTTTTAGCCCAAACCAGGTTCCAGGTTTTTTAGACAGTATTGAGTGTCCAAATTAAGCATTGTATTATAGAAACATTAAAATACACAAGAGTGATGAATTAATTTGGAAAAGAAATGAGATGAAATGAACAGAGACTCAGAGGATATCCCAGGTAGAGAAATTAAAGAATGAGAAAACAAGTAAAGATACTTTTAAATAACCTTTAAAAGTCACATTGACTCTGCAGTGAGTCATATAAGCGTGTCTCAGACAGAATCCTTACCCCCAAGTCCTAGCGCCTTCCCTCTTGTCACCCTGGGGCCCGTGGAAGTCAGATCTGGACTGCCTTCCTTGCAGCTCATGGCCATCAAACACAAAAATAGACCCTGAATGGGAAATCCTGACACATTCAGTCTCTGTGCTGACATATCAGACAGACAGCCTGGAATGGTCTCTCTTCCTCCAGCTTAAAAATGGGACATAGTCTTTGTAGTGTCATTTAGGTCAGAAAGTGCTCTCATTTCCTTTCATAAGGAGCACTGCCTCCCCAGCCCACATTATTGACACTGTTAATGGGAAGAGAAGGAAATCTGAAACCCACTGCTGCAGAGTCTGGGGCAGTGTCTACACATCCCTGCTGGGAGAGGCGGGGGGATGCATCCCAGTCCTCTGCCTGTAATGAGGACCCTCCCGTCAGGTCTCAGAAAGCCTTCCCCATCCCACCGTGGACAAGCTAGACCAGTGGTTTTCAGAGTATGGTCCTCGGAGCATCAGAGCAGCATCACCTGGGAACTTACTAGAAACGCAGATTCTCAGACCTCACTCCCAGACCTGCTGAATCAGAAACTCTGGGGATGGGGCAGCAATGTGTCTTCACAGGCCCTGCAGACAGTTCTGATGCAAACTCAAAGTGAAGACTGCTGCCTAGATATCGCCCCATACCCTTCACAGTGATCCCCAAATTGGCTATCACCAATAAGTACGAATTTAAAAAACAACAAAAGTGAGTTGATAGTGGGTTGCCAACTTTTAAGTTTGGCAAACAAGGCTACTAGAAATAAAATATAGCTAAAATTTAACATCACATCCTTTCATTAAATAAAAGGGTTCTTGGGGCCAGCCCAGTGGCATAGTGGTTAAGTTTGTGCACTCCACTTGGGCAGCCCGGGTTTCACAGGTTCAGATCCCAGGCATGGACCTAGCACTGTTCATCAAGCCATGCTGTGGAGGCATCCCACATGAAATAAAGATCGGCACAGGTGCTAGCACAGTGACAATCTTCCTCAAACAAAAAGAGGAAAAAGAGCAAGATTGGTGACACATTAGCTCAGGGCCAATCTTTCTCACACACACACACAAAAAAGACTCTAGATCATAAAAAAGAAAAAAAAGTAGGAAAGACCTAATCTTAGAATAAGGGACTGTCCCTTCTACTAAATTAAATTAGTTTAATGAAAAACTCACACCGGTGCTTTCATTTCCCTCTATTTGCCAACTGGCGAAAACTCCCTCATGAACTAGGAACCGTCCAAAGCCCAGCAGTCTGGAATGACTGCTCTACAGTGATGAAATGAAGAGTGAGAGGTCACTGTGGGTCAGGGCGGCCAGAAGCTCTGTACGAAGTCTCCCACAGCCTCGTTCTTGACCTGACCAAGAAATAGGGAAAGTGGTCTGGACAGAGGAAGCAAACATACCTTGATTCATTCCTTCTCTGCATGGCCCAGTGGATCGGCTGTCCTATTCACTGGACATATCATTTATAGGGATATTATCCACTTCTTAACCCACAGATAGGCATTTGATTGGCACTGATTGCAGGTTTCATACGCAAGACTCTCAGTGTGCTGGTCCTATTGCTTAGGAAATCAGTAGCCCTGCTCCTAGAGAAGGTCAAGGTGTGGACGGCACCTGAGCCATGCATAAGGGCAGTTCCTGGGCTTGCCCGAAAGCTGATGCCCCCCAGCTCTGCAAGGCCCACACCTGCAGGAGCCCAGGCTGAAAATAATGAGCTAGAAACCAGAGTGTGATGCCAGGGAGAGCCGGCTTGCCAGGGTGATTGCAGAAGATCACGGTCAGAGCTGCAGACCACCAAACAGCTTTTGGTAGTGGCCACGGAGTGATGCTGGTTCTGGGAATGGGTTGCGGCAGCCCCTTCTGACACTGGCTTCAAAACTCTTGTCTGCCCCTTTCCTCTGCAGCCTTTGAAATCCAGTAATTCGGAGTTTGAAAGAGCTGCTCCATTTATCCATTGCAAGATAAACCAAGAATCCATACTCGTGCAGGTGTGTGCATGTGGCAGGGTGTGTGTGTGTGTGTGTTGGTGAGATTATATCTGTATACACATGTGTACCAGCGAGGGGATGTATTCATATAATGAAGTAAAATGAGGCCATTATGTGCATGAGATGAGAAGGCCCCAGCCTAGGAAACTAAAGTTTGCTGATTCAGGCCTGCAGGCCTCCTGCCACCTGGTTTGCATTTCATTCCAATTTTGCATTCTGACTGGAGCAAAGTAGCCCGTCCTCTTGGAGCTCTTAAAAGTCAGAAACCTCATTCCACAAGAAAAATGAGATGTTCCTTTAATTAATTTCAAGTGCCATTGCCCTTACCATGTACGATTGCCCTCTCTTGGGACCAAGAGGAAAATTGTCTTCCTCCCCTTGAGTTAATCAGTGGTGAATGTTGAGATATTGATGAATCAAATAGTGTAATTGAATCCTCTTAATACAGAGAGTGTGAGTGAAGATTGAGGGCCTCTCCTTATCTGTCTTCATCCCTAAATGTTTAGGAAATATCTCCTCTCATATTCTTTTTGTTTGGCAGGAAACATGGCCCTTGAAAATTCACATCTCCTTACATCGTCTCTCACCCCACGTGTAAACTTGGTTTACAGGTTCTCATCACCCCCACTAAACACAGACTCCATTGCTTTCCAGCCATGCCCCAGGCCCAGAAGTACCTCCCTTTGAAAGAATCTAGGCCAGCAGTCCTCACTCTCACATCAAAAGGGCTGGGGAGGAGAAGGCTCACCCCCTTACACAGGCCATTAAGCCTATTACAGTAGATGAGAGGAGCAGCTGAGACAGCAAAACAAAGCGGGCGATTTGGGTCATTGAAGCACACTGAATAATTCAGGTCCCTCAATCTACAGAGAGAATCAACTTTGATTATTGATAACAAGAATCATTGCAAATAACATTTATTGAGTGCTAACTGTATGCCAGGCATTGTGCTAAGAGCATCATATAAATTATACTCTCAACAACCTGAGGAGGTAGATATCATTGCCCTTGTTTTACAGGTAAGGAAACTGAGGTACATAAAAGTTAAGTAACTTGTTCAAGGTCACATGGCTAGCAAATAGTAGAACAAAGATCTGAATGCAACTATCCAGCTCTGGGGCCCTGATTTTTACCCACTGCTCTGTGCTGCCTGGATTAAAAGCCAACAGTGATCTTGGTCCAGCGTTAGGAGTTAATTCTCAGAGCAACTCTATGAGATAGATGATGTTATAGTTCCACATTGCAGGCGAGGAAGCTTAGGCTCCAAGAATGTAAGCCCAAAGTGGTATAGCCTGTAGGTGGATCTAGACTTCGTTCTGTGATTCCAAAGCCACAGCCCTTCCCACCACCCCGTGCTGCCAAGTTAGAGACCAGATTCTTCACTGAACTACAGTGGGATCAGCCTGTCCCTCCTCTGTACCTCTGCCCACATGAGCTCCTACATGGAGCTGTGCATACAACAAGTGCTCCTGGCTTACTAGCTACTTCCCATCGTGATGTCTGCCTCAACTTGACTCCCAGTGGTGGAAGCTAAAACAATTTTTATCATGGTGGCCACATTTACTTTTTCAATGGTATTTTTGTTTTAAATCACGATTAAAGTTCCTTCCACAGGTATTAGCAATCAAAGAGTTTCCTGAACATATCTGAAGTGATAACCACATCTGGGGCTGTGTTTAGCATGATTTGGAGTGCTGATACCTTCCAAACATAGGGAGAAATCATGACCTAACAAGGGACACAGAGTGGAAGAAAAAGCAGTAGTCCCAGCTCTGTCTCCCACTAGCCATGTGACATTGCATAACTTATTTCCTCTCTTTAGGCCTCAGTCTTCCCATCTGTAAAATGGGAATGTTGAATTAGATTGTCTCAATCCAGCTCAAACTGAAAAAAGTACTGAAAGAAATGAGGCCATGCCCCAAGGAGTTCGAGTGGACATAGGGCGCCAGTAGTGACCCTCCTGGTTCTCATATTCTCTGGGCCCCGCTTTTTTATGCTGCCCCCACAAAAAGGGCCTGATGGAAATACTAGCCTGGTTTTGAAGTAATCCATAATTCTCTGCTGCCTCCTTAGAGGTAGATTCAAGGGACTTGAGTCTGGTTTTGCTCACAGGAATAGAGAGGATGGCATTTTAGCCCTTCTGATGCCTAATCTTCCCGTTGCATCTAGAGACAAACTATGCAAAGAGCAACCTTTAAAAGCCACGCTGTATTTTTAGAATTTTGTGTTTTCCTTTTAGCCATAATCCTGTGAGTAATCTAGCAGCTTATCTCCTTGACAGGGAACAATGCATATAAAAAAACATAAAATGTGTACTGCCACAAGCATGGTGGAAAAGAGCCTTTTCTCCCCTGAAGCTTTCTCATTAGAGATTCTGAAGACTGCTCCCATGATGGACTTTGTGTTACTCTTATCCTCTTCCATATGGTGGGTTTTCAAAACCAAGGGGTAACTTACTATTTATAAGTTGTAGACACTCGCTCTAGTCCATTGACCACATTATGTATTATACAACAAAAGGCTTTCTACAAAGTGGACTTGTGACTCAAACTCCATCTGAAGCTTGAGAAGGTTTTTTGAATTGGTATGTTAATTACATCAAATTCACTGGATTTTCCATTGAAAAGTAAACCCAGCTTCCCAAAGCGCCCACGTGTCCCCTCCAGGGTTAGTGATTAGGCAGTCAGATCAGCCACTGAGGGGAACAGAGCTGATCGTTGGTGATGAAAATGGATTTGAGGAGAGCTGAAGTCGGTGGTGGTGGTCAAAGGTAGACTGATGAATCATGGGGATCAATTACAGGAAGACGCCAATCCAAAGGGGCCAAAGGGAGGCAGAAAAGGCATCCAAGGTAAAGGGTTATGCCACTCAGGGTAGGCTGCATTGCTACATTATGCTGCAGGAACACAAAACCCCAAAATCTCGGTGGCTTAGGACAAAAAGAGTTTATTTCTTGCTCACATTACATACCTGATGTGGGTTGTCAAAAGACTGCTCCACACAGTCACTCAGGGACACAGGCCTATGGCTACTTTGCCTTCCTATAGCTGCACCATGGGACATGTGGCCTCTTCTGTTTCTGTAACTGGGGAAGAGAGGCTGGTAGACATGGACTTTTCACTGCCTTAGGGAAGAAAAGAGACATGCCATTGCCGCTCACATTTCAGTGGCCAGAACTAATCATATGGCCCCACCTAATTGCAAAGGTTGCTAGGGAGTATAGTCTTCCATATGCCCAAAGGAGAGGAAAGCCAGATATTAGTGGGTACAAATAATGTCTACCAAAGTGTTCTAGAATCAGGACTGCAAGATGAAGGAGCAGACATGGTGGGACAGAGAACAGGGGGTGCCTACAGGGATTCCTGGAAGAGTTCATCACAGCCTCACTCTTCTCTAGGGTTAGAGCAAGTTCTAGAGGTGTCAACAGGTTTGGACAAAGTTCTTGGGAATTTTAGGGTACCTGGAAAATGTTAATTTTTAAGGGACCTTCCTATTGTATCGTTTTGATATTCCATATATTTTATAATTTTATTTCATATAAATATCACTCCCACAACCCAATTCCCCAGTAAAAATGTGTGAACTTTAATTATGAAATCTCTCATTATCTTCATCATTAAGGGAGTTTGAAAAATTGACTACTCGAAGCTTCTACAGATGCTAAAGGCTGGGCCCCAAGGGCCCCCCTAGATTCACAGTCCCTTGTGGGACTGAAAGATTAGGGATTGGTGAGGGACAGATGACTTCACAGTTTTTTTAAATTAAGGTTCCAAACCATCCTACTGCCTTCTCTCTCTCAGATGATCTTAACCAAAGTTTTAGATGCAGAAACCTTTCCATGTCTTTTATCTTCCTCCGAGTCCTGAGTAAGACGTGCGATAGCATCATTTTATCTAACTGCATTATTCTCAAGATCTCCAAGATAAATACCAGCTACCATTTTCCTAACAAAAAGGAATGCTCCCTTTATTTAATTGAGTTTTGTTTTGTTGTCTATAAAATAGGGGGAATAAAACCTGCCTCACAGAACTGTCGTGAGAATTAATGAGACGGTAGAGAGCGAGAATTTGGAGAGTGAGAGTTCAGGACTGTTCAGATGCAGATAAATATTTTACAATAGAGCTGCTTTCCTTTATTGTCCAAAACTCAGAAACTGAATCAAGATAGATACTGTAGCAAGAGATGCTAATATATGTGAGGCACTTGGCATTGTTCCTGGCACCTGGATGCCCTCCATAATATCAGAATTAGTGCCACTATTACTATTATTTTTACTGCTGTTTCTAATACCATCACTTTTTACAAAACTCGGATGGGATTTTTTTTAGATATTTGTTTTTGAGAACCAAATTCTGCTTATGATCATAGATTTTTCTCCCCAGGGATGCTTTTTACCAGAATATAAGCATATATCTTAGTTTCTAGTCTGGGGACACTGCCTGACTTCTCATCTTCTTTTCACTTCTTTTCTCTTTTTGCAGTCGTTTCTGGGAATAGTAGCTGCACTGGAAGACTCCATGCTTAGTCCGGCTTCTTTATTGACAGCTAAGCTTTCACATGGTGTAGTTACTCTCATTTTCTTTTATGAATTGCAGTGCCGGTGGCAGATATCAAAGCTGTGGTGACGGGAAAGGACTGCCCTCATATGAAAGAGAAAGGTGCCCTTAAACAAAACAAGGTATGATTTCCAAATTATTGCAAATAGTTGTGTCTGTACAATGCAGTCAGCGACTATAGTGGGCCCAGCCCTTTTTAGTAGCAATGCTTGTGTGTGTGTGCACGTGCGCGCACACGCATGCACACACGCATGCTGTTGCACATCTCTCACTTGGCTCTCTTTCTTCCTTTCCTGATTCCTTTCACATCTCGTAGCCTCATTCTTTCTCTCCCTGATCATTTGTTGAATCCCAACCATCTCTTCCATTCTCTCACTTCCTGTCTACTTCCAGCCCTAGGAATTGTCCTCTCACTACTGTCAGCTAGTCCTCTCTCAAGCTTTCTCTGCTCATCCTCATCCATTCTCTAGGCCTCTCCTAATCTCCCATTTATATTCATATTCTCCCTTCTCTTCAGTCTCTTTCATTCTTTCCTGCTGTTATCATCCCCTTAGTAGCCTGTCTGAGGTCTCAGTGAAGGCTGGGAAAGGCAGAGACCATAAGACTCAAAACATTTTAGAAAACTTTTAAGGGCCTGATATCCTTCACCATCATGGAAAGTGTGGTGAAATAGCTCAAACCCAGCTTAAAGGAGAAAATTTCCCCAAAGGTGTATATTTCTTAAATCCTCTTCGCATTGCAATCATTTTAACCCTCTCCTCCTAGTTTGCCAATTGCTATTCACCATGACAGCCCATGTTCCATAACAGAGGGTGTGGGAGGAGGCATTATCTGAAAAAATGGAAGCATTTCCTTTGCCCCAGGTTTGGAAGTCTTTGCCCTTGGAGGGCCCATTAGGGAGCCAATTCTTTCTTTATACCTCTTGGCATCTTGTGATACATAGTACCCATCCAGTAACAAAATTACCCAGATTGATCTAGGTGCTTCAGCCACCTTGATATCAAAAATATCACGTAGATCAATAGGTTGCTTCTTCACTGCTCAGTGTGAGTATCTAAGAGGAGTACCAACATTATGCACATCCTACTTATCGATCAGGGTTAACATGAATAATCTCTGCTCTGTAATTTCAAACATTATAAGGCAAAGAGGAATTCATGTCTGCATAGACTGACTCTATCTATGATTACGGAAAAGCAAAAGTACTTACAAAAGTACTGTTTAGGAAGACAGAGGAGAGTGGATACTGCCAAGGAGGCTGATAGCAAGACCTTTGCTTCTTAAGTTACATAAGTATAACTCACCTCAAATCCATGTGAACTCCTTCTTTGTCAAGCCTGCCACAACACTATCATCTAATGCACTTAATTGAAAGCATAGTGATATAAGGGCATGCCTAAGAATCTGTGGGTCATCTGTTACACAGCATTTCTCTCCTCTCCATGATGTGGGGAAACAGGGATTCTACAGCTCATCAGATTCCAGAGGAGCATTCTTAAGTCTAGCAGCATGTCCCCAACCTTCATCGTTTGCCTCCTGTGTGGCTGCCTTCCTTCAATACCACCTGATATGTAGAGCACAATCTTGAGAACACTGGCTCTGCTCAACTCCAGCTGAGGTCCCTGTGGTTATGTAACACTTGGAGCTGAGCAGGAAACAATGTGAGGAAATTGGCAAGAACAAGAGTCTATAACCCAGAGAAGGTCAGGACGGGTATAGGTGGCAGTAAAGCAGTCTGCCAGGATCCAAGAATTCTGAGTAGGGACAGAGAGAATTATATAAAATAGGTGTGGTGGGACTTGTGGTTTCATCCCCAATGTGTAAAGTGCTTAGGAGTTGTCACTCCTATCCTTACAGTAAGAAGAAACTGAATAAAGTGAAAATCAGCAATTGTCTTGGGCCTAATAGAGAAGTGAGGTTGCAGGGCACACTACCATCCTGAAATCTGGAGAATTATGTGCATCTAGCAAGTCACAGCCAGAACTGCTCACCTGGAGCAGAATCCACTGGAGCCGTAAACTGTAGGATCACTTAAATGGCATTTCCGATGAATTGCTATAGGCTGACTGTGGGCTAGTGAGAGTGAGAAACTCTTGAGGATTACAGTCTTGGGAGGGGCATACTTTCATGGGCTTTACTTCCAGTAACCCTAGCATATTCTCAAAGTGAAGATCAGAGAAAGACTCCCCACCCCACATTGGCTCTGGCAGAAGAAAGGAGAGCGCAATGATGAAATTTGCCACAGCCTTCTCCATAACAAAGTGTTGTTCTCCAGATCTTTTTTTCAGCGAGGGGAAGGGAATTTCTCCCATTGCATCCCATTTTAGCCTTCCTATCTCAACTGCGGGGTTGGGGTTGGGGGAGACAGAATTAACAGTAGTCAGAGCCTTAAGGAAATGGATAGGAAACTCTGCAGCCCAGGGAAAGGGAAGAGGGCATGGGAAAAAGCTCCATCACTAGAGAAACACTTAAGAAGGTGACAGCCACAAGATATAAAACCCCTAAAACGTGGAGATTTAATTGGAAAAGTATAGAATGCTATCCCTCACCCATATCCTACCACCACACCAACGGGACTCCAAAATAATAACAGTGGATTATAGCTGAAATATCTGCAAGAGACAAACTCTCTCTGAGGAGGAGTACTTAGGGAAGCCCAAAGTCGGGAGAAGAGACAAAAACAGGGATACTAGAGGAATTAGAAACCTCCGGCACTTATAGCTACAGAAAACATTAAACATATCCCAATTCATTGCCAGATTAACATAAATCATCACTTTAAAGGTCTATGTATCTCACTTCCTATTACCTGATACAACATGTCTGGATTTCAACAAAAAAATTGCACACCTGCCAAAAAGCAAGAAAAAACAAGCTGAAGAAACAAAGCAATCATCAGAACCAGACTCCAATATGACACAGATGTCGGAATTATCAGACAGAGGATTTAAAATAACTCTGATTAAAAGCGTTATAGGCTCTATTGGAAAAAGTAGACAACATGAAAGAACGTATGGGTAATGTAAGCAGAGAGATGGAAACTCCAGAAATGAATCAAAAGGAAAGGATATGAATAAAAAACTGTAACAGAAGTAAAGAATGCTTTTAATTGTCTCATCAGTAGACTTGACATAGCTGAGGAAAGGATTAATGAGCTTGAAGAGTCAATAGAAACCTCCTAAACTGAAATGCAAAGAGGGGGAAAAAAATGAAAAAAACAGAACATCAACGAACTGAGGGAAAATTGCAAAAGGAATAACGTACATATAATTGGAATACCAGAAGAAAGAGAATAGAGCTGAAGAAATGTTGAAACAATAATGGGCAAGAACTTTCCAAAAGTGATGACAAACATCAAACCACAGATCCAGGAATCTTAGAGGACACTGAGCAGGACAAATACTCAAAAACCACACCTAGGCATATCATATTCCAACTGCAGAAAACCAAAGATGAAGAGAAAATCTTGAAAGAAACAAGAATGGGAAGAACACCTTACCTATAGAAGAACAAAGATAAAAATTAAAGTGGATTTCTCATCAGAAAGTATGCAAGCAAGCAGAAAGTAGAGTGAAATATTTAGTGTTGAAAGAAAAAACCCACCAACCTAGAATTCTATAGCCAATGAAATTATCCTTCAAAAGTGGAGAAATAAAGACTTTCTCAGATAAACAAAAACAGGGAGTTCATTGCCAGCAGACCTCCTCTGTGAGAAATGTTAAAAGAGGTTCTTCAACCAGAAGGAAAATTATATAGGTGAGAAACTTAGATCTACATAAGGATGAAAGCACATCAAAGAAAGAATAAATGAAGGTAAAATAAAAATATTTATTTTTGTTATCCTTAATCCATGTAAAAGGCAACTCTTTGTTTAAAGTAATAATAGTAACAATGTGTTGGATGCTTATAGCATATGGATAAGTGAAATAAATGACAACAAAGTCACAAGGGACAGGAGGGAGGAATTGGGATAGTCAAACAGGAGAAGGTAAAAAAAAAAAAAAGAGAGAGAGAAAGAAACAAAGAACAAATGCAACAAATAGAAAAGAGTTCCAAATATGGCAGATATTATTCTAATGATATCAGTAGTCATTTTAAATGTCAATGGTCTAAATACACCAATTAAAATACAGAGATTGTCAGAGTGGACTAAAAAGGGCCCAATTGTATGTTTTATACAAGAAACCCCCTTTAAATATAAAGATGAATATAGGTTAAAGTAATGGGATGGACAAAGATATCAAAATACATAAGGAAAAACTGATAGAACTGAAAAGGGAAATTTGCAAATCTATTATTGTACTGGAGACTTCAATACCCCTCTGTCAGTAATTGATAGATCAAGTGGGAAGAAAAATCAATAAGGAGTTTGATGACCTAAACAGCACCATCAATCAACTTGATCAAATTAACATTAATAGAAAATCCACCTGACAACAGCAGAATGCACATTCTTCTCAAGCTCACAGGAAACCTTCACCAACATAGACCAGACCAAATTCTGGGCTATAAAATACATCTTAACAAATTTAAAAGAATAGAAAACATGTTCTCAGATCACAATGGAATTAAACTAAAAATCAATAACAGAAAGATAGCTGGAAAATCTCCCCAAATATTTGGAAATTTAAGAACAGACTTCTAATAACCCATAGTTCAAAGAAGAAGTCTCAAGAGAAATGTAAAAATGTTTTAAACTAAAAAGAATGAAAATATAACTTATCAAAACGTGCATGATGAGGCAAAAGCAATGCTTAGAGGGAAATTTATAGCATTAAAAGCATATATTAGAAAAGAAGAAAAATCTAAAATTAATAAAGTTTCCCCTTTATAAAACTAGAGAAGGAAGAACAATTTGATCCTAAAGCAAGCAGAAAAAAAGAAATAATAAATGTTAGAGTAGAAATCAATGAAATTGAAAACAGGAAAACAGTGGAGAAAATAAAAAAAAGTGAAACTTCATTCTTTGAAAAGATGAATAAAATTGGTAAACTTCTAGCCTGACTAACCAAGAATAAATGAGAGAGACACAAGTTACTAACATCAGAACAGATGTGGAGATGATTATCTCATTTGAGCAGACCCACAAAACAGAATAAATGACATTTTCCAACTTTCTTTT